ATTGGCTCAAACTGTGGCTCTGGTTCTGTTTATTGGTTGAAAGCAGGATCCGCCCTGCTCTGCTCTGATTGGCTCAAACTGTGGCTCTGGTTCTGTTTATTGTTTGAAAGCAGGCTCCGCCCTGCTCTGCTCTGATTGGCTCAAACTGTGGCTCTGGTTCTGTATATTGGTCGAAAGCAGGCTCCGCCCTGCTCTGCTCTGATTGGCTCAAACTGTGGCTCTGGTTATGTTTATTGGTTGAAAGCAGGCTCCGCCCTGCTCTGCTCTGATTGGCTCAAACTGTGGCTCTGGTTCTGTTTATTGGTTGAAAGTGTTTAATTTCTGCATCATCATTAGGTTGGATAGTTTCAATAGGACCAGAGATGACAGAAATCCACCTTCAAAATTATGGAAATATGTTGTGGAGATGAAGAACTTTAGTCCAAACAAAATTTAATCTAAAAACTAAATTAAGCAAAACTTTAGCTTTTAACAAAATTAGCATTAGCAAAATTAGCATTAGCATTACTAGTTTTAGCATAGATATATGTGAACTGGTTAATGGACTGTACTTCTATAGCACATTTATCTTATCGACACTCAAAGTGCTTTACAACACAATTTGTACCCATTCATACAGGACTCTACTATAACTATACAAAGAATAATCAATAATCAGAGCTTGATCACATTCATACACCGATGGGGCACACATCGGAGACAATGAGCAGTTCAGCGTCTTGCTCAGGAACACTTCAGCATGTGACTGTTGGTGGAATCGAACCCCCAACTCTCATATTGGAGAACGGCTGCTCAAACCACTCAGCCACAGCCGCCCACATAATTAGCAGCATGTAGTTCGTACGAGTTAGCATCAGCTGTAGCAGAATTAGCAGAAGTTCGCTAAAGTAAGTTCCAAAGAGAAAAATGTTTCTGAAAGGTTGAATGAAATGTCCATGTATTTTATTTAGAAAAACAATTTTAAGATAAAAACTTTGAAAAGAAAACTAAAGAGTCAGCAGCCATCTCCTGAACGAGCCGAACGTTTTGATGCATGAACTCTAAACCAGCACCAAATGTGTGAAGTAGTTAGATGATAAAAACATGCAGGGGAAATAAAATTGTAAATGCTGACTCCGTCTGGTATTTTTCACAGAAATGGGTTTGAACTTTGACCTCTCTGAGGAGGAACAGTGCCAGCGGTCTCACCATTTGTTTCAGCTCCGCAGCGTAAATCTTTGGGCTCCAGGGGTGGATGAACTTATTTCTCTCTGGTTTCTTCAGAGGCAGCAGGAAGCGCTTCCCCTAAAAACAGACGAGACGACATGAGTCAGACTGTCAATCATCTGTTGGCATGAACGATGAAGGAGGAGGAGGAGGAGGAGACCGCTCGTCTCCTGCGGGCGTCAATCTTTCTGAAGTAGGTGGTGATGTAGACGTTGTCAAAACAGATGTCCCTCTGAAAACAGCGAAGGTAGCTGAAGCCCCTGAGGAGGAGGAAGAGGGATGAAGAACCAGTTTAAAACAATGATCTGGGTTCAACTGGTGACGAAGGAGTTTTACTGAATGAAAACAGTGATGAAGGTGAAGGACAGAATCATCTGCAGGATGTCCAGAATGCTGTCCATCGTCTTCGTCAGGGTGAGGAAGGACTGTTTGACAGCCTGAGTGAAGTTCTGATCCAGCACAGATCCATCCAACACCGACTGCTGGTGCTGCTCCTGCAGGACCACAGAGGACGAGGATTCATTTATCACAACTCTGTTTGTTCCTGGAGGTTCTGCTGAAGGACGGGTGAAGGTGTTTGGACCTGCAGGACCAGTTCTGTTCTGAACTCTCTGGACAGCCGGTCCACGGAAACATTGAGCTGATCGAACAGCTGACCGAAGTTTCCCTCCACAGGAATCTGCTCTCTGCACCACGGAGTCATCACTGAGAGCAGAGGAGAAGGTTGGCGTTCATCCGGAGGTCAGCCACAGGTCACGGTGACATCACAACTCACCTCTCATGACATCACACAGGAAGTGGAACTTCATGGACACGCAGAGGATGTAGTTGATGACTGGGACAGGAATCACCGTCATACACTCCGCCCACCTGCGGCTGAACCAATCAGCACAGCGCTGCACGCCCTCATTAACCACACCTGGACACCACACGCACACGCGCGCACACACACACACGCACACGCACACACACACACACCTGAAGGTAACTGTTTAAGAAGAATGTCTGAATAAATAAAAAGACGAGGAAAAAGACCAGAGAAACCGTGAGCGTTGAAGACGTTACAGACTCTTGACTAGGAGGACATTTTTACTACATTCAAAGTTAAAACAGATAAAATAAATAAATCAGCATAACAGTAGCCAAATGCTAAATCCAACAAATCTGTTGTCAAAAAACTTAATTAGCAAAACAGTAGCTAAAAGGTAATAGTAGCAGAACTGTAGCTAAAAGCTAAAGCTAGCCATACATTAGAAACAAACAGTAGCTGAAGCAGGTTTTAAGGACATTTTGAAGGAATTTAAGAAAGTGTAAAAGTTACAAAGATAAAACTGAAATGCACTTTTTATGACTGAGCTGCACATTTTGATTTAAGGTGAAATGGCACAAACTGATTATTAAAGATGTACCAAACTTTATCAACTTTAAATACTTAAAGTTTTATCTGAATAAACACAAGATTTCTGGAACAAGCTGTCCTTTGGGCACGAGACCAGAGGACAGATGTTTACCCAGAATGCACTGCAGCAAACAGCTCCTTCCAGCTATCAGCAGGTGGTGGAGGGCTGGTTAGCTGTTGGGGCTGATGGTTTGGGCTCCTGTCAGTCTCTGAGTGGACCAGAACTCCTCTGTAGTCCAAAGGGTTCTGGAGTCAGATGAGTCCGTCTGGACCGGTACGTTTGAGGTTAGATTTGGATCATTTTAGAACCTGGCATTTCATTATGCCCTCAAACCCCAGAACTGAATGTGGGTGGTCTTTGTTGTGTGTCTGACTGTTGGAGGCCATCTTTATTGTTTACAGTGTAAATATTAGCAGTTTGAGGTGAGAGCATTCGCTGCCCGCATCATGAACTCACTGTCGCACTGCAGCTTGGTCCTGGCAGCAAACAGCTCCTGCGTGCTGTTTGCACTGCCTCCAGGTTTGGATTGGACCTGGTCGTACCCGTACTGGGACAGGACTTCGTCTCTGATATTCTGGAACCTCGCGCTGATGTTCAGAGACTCTGACTGAAAGTCGTCTTTATTGTCCTGAGACGGAGACAACGGGACGGATCAGTGTTCTGATCATTCAAACTTTTGAATCCAAACAGGAAGTAAGGTGTGCTGTTAAAAAGAACCTCTTGTCTTACAAATTTATGGCAAATCTGCTCCTAAATACAGTTTGTTCCTTAAACAAATAATCTGTTAGAAACCCAGGCAGAAACATCCAAGCTGAAGGTTCTGGTTGCCAGAGCCCCCCTCCCTCACCATGAGCTCCTGGGTGATGAGTATAAATGGTTTGATGGCGTGTCTCCACAACATCCTGCCGTGATGAACCTGCAGGTCCAAATTACAGCTCAGGGACAGAGCAGCCGCCTCTGCGTTACCCTGGATGTTGGCGATCGGACCTGAAAGAGGACACGACACACATGACCAGTTGTTTTAGCAAATATGAAGGTTTACGAGCTAAAGCAGTCAGAATCAGCCTCCCTACCGCCCACCCACGGACTGGTTACCTTTGTACAGAATGGACGTGATCAGAATCATCAAGTAGGCGTGACCACGGGAGCCGAGGATGCTGGGAAACATGAGGAGGACCGAACACCTGAGGAATGAAGACAGAGCTCCTCCAGCGGCACACACACCTGAAACACACACACCTCTGATTAAATGTTGTGGTTGTGTGTCTGAGAAGTGATGAGAGGGAAGTTTCCTCACCGACAAACAAACCTCCGACCACCACCTTCAGGTCAAAGGTCAGCGGGAGGCTGTGGGCAAACCCCAGGAACAGAACTGAAACACAAGAACTACAAGTTCAATCTTTCTGATTTATTTTGGTAAATATTTTTGTTTTTTTAATAGTTTCTAATCATTTTAATTTTTGTCCCCCCCCCCCCCCCACCACAATATTTCCCTTTTATTTCTACTTCAACAGAATATCTCAGTTTTTATTGTAGTAAGTGAATGCACTTTGTTTTATTTTATTCTTGGATTGAAGCTCATTTTGTCAATTAAAGTGAAGAATGTAGGACTGAGGGCTGTAACTCTAAATGTGGGGACAATGACAGGCAAAGGCAGAGAGCTGGCTGACATGATGCTGAGAAGGAAGGTAGATGTTTTATGTGTCCAAGAGACCAAGTAGAAGGGCAGCAAGGCTCACAGCATTGGAGCAGGGTTCAAACTGTTTTACCATGGTGTGGATAGAAAGAGAAATGGAGTAGGGGTGGTCCTGAAGGAGGAGTTGGCAAAGAATGTAGTAGAGGTGAAAAGAGTGTCAGATAGACTGATGTGTCTGAAGGTAGAAGTAGAAGGTCTGATGCTAAGCTGATGCTAAATGTTGTCAGTGGTTATGCTCCACAGGTTGGATGTGATGTGGAGGAGAAAGATACATTTTGTAAAGATCTGGATGAAGAGATAAAGAGTATTCCCAGGGAGGAGAGAGTGGTGATGGGAGCAGACCTGAATGGACATGTTGGTGAAGGAAACAGAGGGGATGAGGAAGTGATGGGTAGGTAAGTGCAGGAAGCTGTTCAAAGAAAGAGGTTAGCCAAGAAGAAATATGACAGTGAGAGGACTGAAGAGAGGAGACAGGAATATAAAGAGATGGGACGTAGAGCAAAGAGGGAAGTAGCTAAGGCAAAGCAGAAGGTGTGTGATGAGTTGTATGGGAGACTGGACACTAAAGAGGGAGAGAAGGACTTGTACCAATTCGCAAGACAGAGGGATCAGGCTGGAAAGGATGTGCAGCAGGTAAGGCTTATTAAAGATAGGCATGGTAATGTTCTAACAAGTGAGGAGAGTGTGATGGGAAGAAGGAAGGAGTACTTTGAGGAGCTAATGAATGAAGAGAATGAAAGAAAAAGAAGAGTAGAGGTCATAGAAACTGTGGACCAGGAAGTGGGAAAGATCAGTGAGGGTGAAGTCCAGAAAGCTCTGAAAAGAAT